TTGAAAGGTTTGATTTGGTCCAAAATATAGCCACAGTCCATTTTGTCTCCTTAATTTATAATTTTTTAAAATATCCTTATTAATTGTACATATTATATCGGAGTTTCCATCAATGAGGTCATTTCCAATGCAAATTATGAAAGTGGATAGTTTAGGAAAACTAACACACATTTTTTCTTTATCTTTATAAATTAGTTATCTAACTTTTACAAAAGATTGGAGGAGCACGCGCACGCCCACACACCCACACCATGTTTGATTATAGAATCAGAAGTTTGAACATTTTGGTGTTAAACAATAAATATTTAATTATATTCCCCTCCCCCCTTTATTTTTGCAACCTTAATAATTTAAAAAGTAATCATACATATTCAGTCGTACTTTAAAGATATCCATGGATGTTGTTTTATATTTTTTGAAACTATATATGGTAGTGTATATTTAAATTTATATATTAATATTTAATTTTCTTAATATTTTTTTACAATAACATAATTATTAACTTGAAAAATATATTTTTTATCCATCAAAACATTTTTTTAAAAAAAGTAAAGCGCTTCATGCTTTTCTGAGAGAAAGCATATATCCGATTGTATAAGCTGATAAGTCCTCATATTTTTTATATTTATTATTTTAAATGCTTGCGGCTTAATTTCCTCAAACAATATATTTCAATTTATACCACCCTGAAAGACGTTGGTGTTAACTGGGACTTTGACACAAACTCCAATAAACCCAAATAGTCTCAGATTAAAACAAAGAGTAGCTCTAATATATATAAATTCCCTTACCATATCTTTTTAATACTATTATAAATTTGATAAATTTGAACCATGAGATCGTGATTACGTAACAGATTCTTTATTTTCACATGCACATCAACTTAATATTAAAATATATTATTGCACATAAGAAATTATAATTACAATAAGCATGCAGGCAGCTGCATGCATGCATGCAGCATGCCCATTCTTATTCCAGGAAGCCAAACTACACTTCGCCTAACATAACCAATATCATATATACGACACTTTTATAAACCTTAAAATATATATCATATATTTTCACAACTGTAGTAGCATATTCCAGATCATGAGCACTGATACTGATATGTTTGGTTCTTTCAAGGATGATCATGATGATGGTCATGGTCATGATGGTGTGATTGTATGTCATAGGGAACCTCAGCTTCCGTATCAGTGGGCTTCTCTTGTGCTTTGGCTACTTCCATGGGGGAATTCAGATGATGATGATGATCGTGATCATGATGGTGATGGTGATGATGATCGTGATCATGATGGTGTGATTGTTTGTCGTAGTGAACCTCCATATGAGAGAGCTTCTCTTGAGCTTTGGCTACTTCCATGGGGGATTTCACCGTGGATGCCGGCCGGACAGCAAGAGATGCGGTGGTGATGACCACCACAGCTAGCATTCTAGCGAGAGCAAGAACAATTGTTTTGTATGCATTATTGATTGGCCTTACTCAAATTCTATGTTCTATTGCTGCCCATTATGCTAGGGCAACAGCTTGACCCTTTTATAATCAGATAGAACCTATCTTCTTGTGACACTTGCCACTATTATTTTTTCCATTTCACTACCATAGTGCATTATTATAGAAAGATAATTTTGTATTACGTCCTCAGTTTACATGTTTGAATAAGCATTAATGAGATTGAAGGGTAGGTTAATGTTAATCCACATTTTTGCTTCAATTATAAGTTGATGAGTTTGAATTGTTCTTCTCATGTTTCCCGGGAAGTTAAGCGTAGTAGCTACTCTCGATGTTGTCGTTTTTTATGTTTTTATATTTCATTCTTTGGCTGTAGGTTGCAAGCTTTCCCACTTCTTGTTATATCTCAATTACGAATTACCTGGTTGGATTAATAAATTGAAGGATCATTTGGAGACAACCTTATTCCCAATTATGTTACCTGGTTTTTTGTAAAATGGTTTACTTACAATTCAAAAATGATTGTATGCTATTTTTGTCGTCACATCCATAAATTGTGGAATTGAATTGAATTATAATTGTGGTGTTTTTGGATACATTTTGGGAGTTATCAATGAAAAAAGAGAAGTATTTCTATGCTTAATTAAAGAGAAGTTAGCTAAATTCATCATTTGTGTCTTATATATATTTTGAAAGAATTGATGGATTTGAATTAAAAAAGTGGTCTACTTATAAAATTTAATTTTTGATAGGTGAACATTAAAAGCTCAAGCAAAGAAAAGGAGAAATTAAAGAGGAAGAGATCAATGATAGGAAAACTCATTGATGCCATAGCATGAGAGTTAGGTGCCAATAGCATTAGTGTTGAGAGACGAAAGTCAAGTGGATAGGAAAAATTATGGAGGAAGAGATCAAAGAAAAATTTGTTAAACTTTTAGATAGAGTTAATAAGATTTTGGACCTGTTTGCTTGCCAGAAAGGAATTAATGGAATGTATTTAAAAAAATGAAGGTCAAAATAGACTAATCAAGATGTGAAGAAGAGATAAGTCAACAATGTTCTCAAAGGAGAAAACTAATTTAATTCATGAGATTAAGAAGGTGTGTTGATTTCCATACTTATGGTATGTGGTATGAGTTTTGATCATTCTTATCATGAGTGAGAGAGTAATTTAATTCATTTTTATTTTTATTTTTTTATTGTATTATATTCTCACCTTCTCCCATAACTAAACAGGTCCTTAAAGCTTTTTTTGTTCTAATGAAAATGCAGAAAGTGACTTACCGGACCACCAGGAGTACATAATTGGCATATATTTCAAAGCACAAGCACACTAGCACAAAAAACATGTTTAGCATCGATAAGTGACCATTATTGGTCACATTCCTAAGAAAATATATATCGCTTTCCATGATAAGTGAGAGATACACTTCACATGTTATTAGGACTGTACAAAAGTTTTTCAATTCTATTTGACCCAGTATAACCCAAGAAGGTCCTGTTAAAAATTGGTCCTTCAGGTACTAAAAAGGCTAAAAAGACAAGACTATTTTTTTGGATTGTACTAAACAAAGACTAGGCATCTAAACCATTTAGTCCAGTCTGGTCCTATTAAGTTATTTAATATGATTATAATATACTTAATTTACAAATTATTTATAATAATAAATTAAGACTACTAATAATTTAATAAATCTGGTTCCTCACATAGTCATACACTCAGACTAATAATTTAATAATCTAAACCACTTTGACTGTAATTGAAATATTTTTTTTTGTTGTTGAAAATTATTATGGATTTATTATGATTTTAAGTATTTTTATTATCTTAATGGAGTTTATTAGGTTGAAATGGATTATTTCCTCTCATAGAGAAAAAAGAAAAAAAAAAGAGCTGAGTGAGTATTGGACTAACAGGACCAGTCTCCCAATCCTATAAACCAAGTTCGGTCCTATTAAGTTTCATGTTATCACTAGATCAGATTAAATTATGAGTTGTCTAATCCAGTCTTTTTCATGAAATTAAAGAGACTAGACTTCGGGTTAAGTCGACATTCGGTCCCGTCTTGTCCTTTGTGCAACCCCACATGTTGTCAAAAGGGGTAAAAAAAGGAGATACACTTACACAAATATCTAGGTTAATAAATATAAGAAAGGGTAAAAAAAAATTGCATATGCTAGGCTGCTTATATTTTGAACTAAAATTAGCTAAAGAAACATGCTTATATTTTAGACTGAAGGGAGTATAAACTTTCAAAAATTTCTCTACATGTTTAATTATTACTCCCTCTCAACCACAATGTAAGTCATCTTCTAAAAGTCTTAATTGATTCAAAATAGAGTATCGAGTATCTTTTATAATTGTTTTTTCAATCATACCTTACTTCATTTATTATTCTATTTGAAAAAATGATATATTAAAATTTTAATTATTATTATCAAGACTCTTATATAAGATATTTAATGATGGTATAATTGGAAAGATGTAATTTTTTTTAAGAAATTAAGCTTTCAACTAACATTTTTTGAAAATTGTGAATATTTACCAATGCCCTATATTATGGTTTGGAAGGAATATGCTACAATATCATTTTAATTCTCTCTCTATTTGAAGTGTAATATTCAAAAAGTATCTTTAATAAAACTTTACTTTTCTCAAATTTTCTTGTATTTTTTAACAACAAAATTACTCTAAATTTATCTTATAATTTGGGACAAAACGAGTGCAGTATAATAACTTTTGCGTAGCTGTGGTCCCGTTGAGTCCTTTGGATTTATTATAACATATATTAAATTCACAACATAACTAAATAACTATTTGGAAATGAATTTATTTAATTCTAGGTAATATAATACATATCTTGGTCTTCCCAGAAGTGGAAAATGAAGAAGTATACAATAATTAAAAAGACAAAACATGACTTAATATTCATCATTTTCCCAAATAGATCATAACATAACCATTTTTGTCTTTTATATAATTCATAGGGTTTTTATTGTCGTTTTCCCTAAATTATTTACAGTTGAGATTCATGAATTTGTGTGAACTTTTCCTCTTTTTTTATATTTTTCCTCATTTATTATTTTTGATAAAACATAAAATCTTTTCTATTTCTTTAGGAGACAAATTTCATTAAATTCACATATTCTTCACTTTAAAGGATGCATTATTTCCTAAAATAAAATAGAGCCATTGGTAAAATAGGCATCGGCTTGGTATTGATGGAGGAAAAATGGGAAGAGAGAAAATTAGGAATTTTTTTAAAAAATAGTAATTGTTTTACTCTATATTCTTGGGAGTTTTTCCTCCTAATTTTCAGTCACTTCCATTTTTGTCCCCATCCAAATCAGAATGAATATTGAATAGGAACTCTAGGTTAACCTCGCTCGGTCCTCATTAATTAGAGCTGCTCAATGAGTAGGATCAATATAATTAATTACATAAGGAATTATGGATTAGTTTATTAGCTTATTATTTAGTATGCTAATAATAAGTAATTAAGTGCTCTCGACTAGAAAATGTATGAAATCAATACTGAAAAGATGAAGAGGGGAATTGCACAGTTAGCTAGCACTTAATATTCAGGAAAGTCATTATCCCAGGTACATAAATAACTAAAAAACTTTCAAAATATTACATACTTCACATAAATTTGAAACACATGTCTTGTTCTTCCAATACAATTGCAGAAACAAATATAAAAATTACAAAAAGGAAAAGAAAAAGGAATATTCATCTCCCAAATAGATCACAACCTTTTCACTGTTACTAATAATTGTGGCAACGAGGGACATCACCTCTTGGCATTCCCGCTCCTATCAAGCATCGATTGCCAGATGCTTTGGTGGCGAGAATCCTTGCTTGTGCAGCTTTCAAAAAATATATATCATATCAATAATCAAAAATCAATAATCAATATATATATATATATATATATATGAGAGAGAGAGAGGAGAAGCATTAGCGCCATGGAATTTGGATTTATCTTTCATTTATCATATCAGATTATTTTTAGAAGCTATTTAAAATATTTTTTCAAAGTGATAAAAAAATTTAAATTCTGGTTATTTTCAAAATTTTAAAGAAATATTATAAAATGTTATAAAGTAGGTTTTCTCACAACATAAACATGTTTTATAAAAAAAAATTAAACAAATTAAAAGTTAGGGGACCGTGGTTCTTCTGATCCCAACTTGTCTCCGCCCCTGGTTGTCTATATATATGAAGTGAGTAACGAGAGTAAGTTTATAAATGAAAGCCACTCAGATTTAACAAGAAAGCATCACTCACATGTATGAAGATCCGAAGCACCACCAAGTTTTCTGGCCAATGCTTCAGCAGTAAGAAGCAAAACAGAAAGAAAGAGAACCAACAAAATAAGAGAGTGCTTTTTGAAAGCCATTAATTATTGGTTATTGTGTTTAAATGATGCGTGTGATAATTTCACAGCACTCGTGTCTATATATATATATAACACAAGTTGTATGCACGGTAGTTGTGGACTTTAATTAATAATTTAATAGCGCGTTTTTTAGTTAGAAAGTGTGGATTGATTCCTTGAGTTTGATTGAAAATTCAAATTGGAAAGTCTTCTTAATTAATGTAACCTAATGTAGTTGTTAGTATTTGACTGATGAATACTCCTTCCGTTTCTATTTATAGGGGAAAAAAATTATATCACATAGTTTAAGAAAATCAGTTAACTATATTAGTTGTAACTGAAAATAAAAAATTGGACTACAATACCCTTTATTAATTGTATTAATCAATCCTTCATTAATTATTTCTTACGACAATGAATGATAAAATTATAAGGAATAATTTAGGAAGTTTGCAATAAATGAATATTAAAAAACATGATTTTGGTTATATAAAAAAACTAACTAAAAGTAATAATTTCTCCTATAAATAAAAACGGAGGGAGTGGTTACCTCTTCCCATGCATGAATTTCAATAGGTTTTTGCTCGAGTGTAGATCGATAGATGTAAAAGATGTGCTCGCTTATATTAAATTTTGACCGATTACTAGGTCTTATATTTTCTGTACATAGAAACAAAGTAAAAATATGATAAATAACTATTTATTTCAATTAAAAGTTGAAAAGTAAAATTTAATATCAAATTTTACCAATGATTTCAACTCATCCGAAACTAAATAATACCCATGAGTGATGAGAAAATCCGGATCGTCATCCAGTTTCCAAACGTGTTGAATGACTTTGGTTGTACAAAATTAAAATAATATCCTAGCTCTGTTCTAAATTCATGAAGACTTTAATCAGTTTGTACAGAATTAAATTGTAATTCTTAATTCTGTTCTAAATCCATGATTTAATTTTTTATAAGTCGTATTCTTAATTTTTTTATTACAATTAAGTTTTTCATATTTTTTTATCTATTAAATGTTTGTATGAGAAAATATGTTATTAACTTTGAATTCATTTTTCTCACACTTTATGTCACAAGCTTGATGAGCACTCAGGATAATATAATGAATACAGTAGATGTTTTATGATTTGAAAAATAAGACTTTGTTTAGAAAAAAAGTGAAAAAGTAATTTGGCTTTTAAACTATAAATTCAAGAGCATCTGGGATCCTAAACTTATTTTTTACACAATGTTATTTTCAACTTTTATAAATAGTACAATCTAGCCCTTACCCTTGTTAACTTTGGTCTTTAGTTAATCAAAAAATTACAAAAAAGAATCTCAAAATTTAAAAGTCATAGAAATGAGTAAAAAATTATAATAAAAAGCCTAAACTATAAGTCAAAACTGATAGGAAATAAGACTGATATGATGAATACAGTAGATGTTTCATGATTTGAAAAAGAAGACTTTGTTAAAAAAAAAAGAGTGAAAAAAAAAATTAGCTTCTAAACTATCAGTCTAAGGGCACTTGCGACCTCAAACTTATTTTTGTGCAATGTTACCTTTAACTTTTAAAAAAGATACAATCTAGCCCTTACTCAAGTTAACTTTGGTTATTAATTAATCAAAAAATGACAAAAAAAACCTCAAAAGTTAAAAGTTATAGAAATGACCAAAAAATTATAATAAATGACTTAAAAATTACAAATGATGAAAAAAAATTAGAGAAAAGGACCAAGAAAATTTAGGGGTCCTATTATGTAATTTTTGATATTCTTTTCTATCATTTGTGTACAACTAACAGTCAAAGTTAATTTTTATTAATGGTAGAAGCCAAATTGCATCGTTTTCAAAAGCCAAAGGAGAACATTATACAAAAATTGAGTTTAGAATCTTAGATGCTTCTAGACAAATAATTTAAAGGTCAGTTTTCTTTTTTTTTTACCCCTAAAAAAACATTACCTTGCTCTAAAGTCAGATATGAACAATAGGGCCTATGCCCGTGTTATCTTACCCCAAAAAAAAATATTTTATATAAATATGAAAAGAAGTTAAAAAAAACAAGAAGAATAACATTAGGTCCCCAAACCTTAAATTAATGACAATTAGGTTTCGATAAATTTTTTAAAAAATAAGTTAAAAAAATAATTATAAGGAGTTTCAGCGTAAATAAGTATTTAAATATCAAATATAACTCTTCAGTTATAACAGAAATTGTATTTATAATTACTAAAATTAATATTTATAATTTATCCTCTAAAAATTTTAAAACCTAGCGGTCATTAATTCATTATTTTATGATCTAACTGTCATTTTCTCACAAAACATAAAGTAAACACCTAACCGTTTTCAATAGAGAAGACAGTGGTGAGATGTAAAAAGAACTAAAAAAAAATGACAAAACAAAACAAAAGTTAGGTGTTAAACAAAACAAAACAAAAGTTGGGTGTTGACTGTTTCAAATTGAAATGGGCCTTCCTGTTGCACGTTTGCATGTGATACACAGCTTGAATAAAGGAGGTTGCGTGTCATGGTGCAGAATTCTACAAACCAAGTCAATGCTGTCGGAGACAATAATCATAAAAATGGGGTTTGACTGAGCCTTTCATTCATTTAAATTCACAGGTTAAACCGTAATTTAACTCCTAAATTATAGGTTTACTAGTGTAATCAGAGACCCTGAACTTTTTTTTTATACAATGTTTCCCTTAAATTTTTAAAAATAATGCTATGTAATTATTACCGTTAATAAAAGTTAATTTTAATCATGAGTTAATTAAAAAAAACAGAAAAAGATATTAAAAATTACAAAAAAAATGACCATAAAAATTACATAAAACAAAACTTAAAGAGAAGACTAGTTCAAATTGAAATGGGCTACCCGTTGCCTATGATATTAAGCTTGAGTAAAGAAAGTTGTGCATTGTGGTTCAGAATTGTATGAACCAAGTCAATGTTGATAGACAATCATCATAAAATTGATGTTAGAATGACCCTTTCCTTTCGTTTAAATTTAAAGAGGTTGAGATATTTCACTCTATATTTAATGCAGATCTTGCAATAAGAGTGAAATTTGGTTTTCCTTTTCTCACTCCAGATTCAGCATTGGATTGGGGTTTTGTTGAAATTATGACTCAAATTTTTTTAATCCCTTATAATTATTTTTATATTATTTATTATCTCGGTTTAAAATCTATCATATTTTTATTATATTAATTTCCATTAACATTCTTATTTGCAAAAATATTCCACAAACTAAAAATGAGCCCTTGTAATTTGCCTTTGATAGGCAGATATGTATATAATGCCTTATTTGATTTTGGATTGATGTAGTGTACTTTAGGCACCACCTTCACCCAGAAGGTGGGGGACGCCAAAAAAAAAAAAAAGACAATTAAGAACTTTACTAAGTCACATATTTCAATTACATACTTTCAATTATTGAAATTTTATCGAAGGATCATTAGGAGATAGCCTCATTTGCAATTGAGTTACCTAATTTTAATATATGGTTACCAACAATTCAAAAATGATTATATGGGATTATTGTATTCACATTCATAACATGAAGTATTAATTTGAATTTTTTTTTTTTTCTGACAACTAGGTTACTAAAATTGTATGCAATCAGTTGCGAATTTCACGTAAATCACTTGTGAAAATCATGTGAACTCACTTAAGAATGGGGTTGAAGAATCACAGGTTTCTCTAGAATTCACAACTAATTATGAGACTTCAATAGTCTTTTCACAACTTAAAGGATTAATTCGAACTTTTTTTTTTTTGGTCACAACTAGACTACTAAAGGCACATAGAATCTGTTGGCGTAAATCAGGAGCATTGCACACTTTACACATGCCAAGCGTTCTAGAGAAGTGAATCCTCAATGTGTTTGTGTATCGGCAATTGTAAGTTCCCAAGATCCTTCAGGGAACTTAATTTAGGGAGATACCTAAGCTAATATGAGTCTAGAGTGTGAAGGTGTTCACAAGAAAGTACTTTGCGTTACTTGAAGATAAAATACAGTATTGGGGAATTTTAGGGAAATAGAGTCGGAAGGTAAAGGGACAATTTGTTGGAATATTTATAAATATTTATAGATCTACATTAGTTAATAAGCTCAAACAAAGTAGTCTTTATAATCTTGTGTGAACCATGATAGGTAGATCACACAAGTGAATCTAATGGATAAAGGCCCAACCTACAACCTTGTAGCTATTAGTTATTCTCTATCTCTTAACTAATTGAGTCAAGGATAATGTGAGACTGAATAATTAATTAATTTATCAAAGTGGTTACTGATATGGTCCATATAAATTGATCAGTCAATAACCAAAACATACAATACGTTTTCCCTTATCTCCATTATCTATGAACTCTCTACAAACTACAGGAATCTAGTGGATTCTGAGTCCATCTATACTCAAGGTAATCGAGATCTCACATTCAATCAATAGATTCTTCAGACTTAATTATATTTGATTTATATGAATTTAAGATGTAAATTTAACACGTGGCATCAGAGCCAGGTCATGAATATTAATTTGTATATCTCAATTCAATATCTTATGCATGTGATGATGAATTAATAGAAATTCTTTTCAAACCATGTTCAGATTTTATTTACGTGCTCACATGTTGATAATTCTCCTTATAACCTTGTTATTGAAAGTGAATATGAGATTTTGATTGAAATTCAATGTTGGTTAAACATTCTTGACTCCTCATATTATTTAATACATGTGAGTCCATTACTGTGCGAGTTCCTCTCTCTCTCTCCCTCTTCTTCCCTTTTATTCTTTCCGCTGTGTGTGTCTAAGTCATTGAAACAACAATTTTCTTTATTGGTTTGCAAGGCCACTGCTGCATGCACGTGTGTGTGGAAAAGATGTTGTTGAACCAAGATAAATTTTAGCCCAATGAACTATATTAAAATTTGTGCTGATTCTGTTATAGGAATGGAGCTTGGAAAGTTGATTTATTCATATATTTGTATTAGAGAATTTTTGGAAAGTAGAATTGAATAGGAAGATGTTTGGTAAGAAATTGAGGTTTA